TACTTTCTAGATATCGAGTCCTCTGGAGACAAGTGCTTATTCTTTTCTACATAATATTAGTAGTTATTGAGTATTAGGTACCTTATCCAAACTTGAAGGCTCCCAGATTATAATTTTACGTACCCTTGAATAAGTAATTAAATCTACAAATGTATTGTACGTGTGTTATTAATAACTTTGACGTCAGGTATTAATTGCCTACATAAACCAATACAATTCATTAAAATGAATTGAAACATAAATTATTCGTTTAAGATTTTATTCTTGATACTGCTTGAATAGTTTGCAAACAAAGAATTATCTTACCTACTTTAATATGATTCAGACATCATTTTTGCCTTTTTTTATCCATTAATCACAAGATGCCAGTAAGGTAATGGCTTCTGTGGCCACTCCTTACTAGCTTGGCTGTCTATTGTGGGTAATACTTGACATAAATCACTGATGCACGCCTTTAAAAGATGAGCCAGAGGGACTTTTCCTTACTTTCTCTTTGAGCAAATGTTTTACTCACTTGACCTACATGCATAACAAAAGCTCACCGATAAAATCCACCGGTCACCAATACATTTTTCTAACAAAATCGCTTCCGAGCCGCGCCGTACAAGTATGTTCTCAAATAAAAGTTGACATTCCCATGGTGAGTCGGAAAGAGTTATGTCGGCACAATGTTTCATGGCGACCGATCCCGTAATCCGTGGTGTTTCGTTCTTTTGTTGGTTGTGATTTATTTTTTGTGTTCCCAGTATTTTTGGGGAACGAATGTGACCGATAGTGTCACTAGCGATTCTTTGTTCGCGTGGATTGGGTAAATTGTGTGGCAAAAGTAAGATAGGTTGTTTTGGCACTAAAATAAATAGATATCTATAGAAAACCACTACTCATTTCAGTAACCACTACTCACTAAGTCAAAGTCAAAATCATTTATTTCAATTAGACCAGAAAGGCACTTTTAAACGTCAACAATAAAAAAATTAAAGTGAAGCTATTTGCTCATTCCAAGGTGTAGATTCCTATGGAGAAGAACAAGCAAGAAACTCCATAGGTTACTCTTTTTCAATCAGGTTCACAATACAATTCTCTTGTTACATAGTTAAGACTATTACCACTACAGACTAAAGTATTTTGTCACAGAATACAATACTTTTACTTTATATATACATAACACTATGATGTAATCACCATCCTACACTTCCAGATGCAAAACAATACTGATAAATGACAACGCAACGTAACCTTGAGCACCGAAACCGGAGAAAATCCCTCATATTTCCTCTGCTTTACATGTATAATACGAGATCAGAATATTCAATCCATACGGGTACTCTACAGCCTCCTGTGATTGCTGTACACACATACATACGTGTACATATAGCTAAAGGTATAGGCAATTTTATGTCAACAGGAGAAAGGTGTCAGACCTTCGCAACGTGTTACAGGCAAAATATTTATGATACAACCTGTATCACACATTCTATTTGATTAAATGTCACTTCTTTGTTTATACGTGTTTGTTTTCTTTTTGTTTGCCATCGGAATTGAATATGGAAACCTATTAATTTTGTTACGTGTATCGAAGTTCGCACTGTTCTCGGAAAGGGAAAATTGGGTTACTGTTTATTAGATATGTACCTATGTACAATATATGCCTATTTGTATATGGATAATGTCGTAACGTAAATATATTCTCTCTCAAAGTGTCGATATCTGATTTTGGGGAATATTAAAACGATAACTTATCTTTTAAATAAATTTCCGTCCGAAGCGCGCCATCAATTTATCTTGGTTTCATATAAGTTGTTACTTGTTACCAAAGTCCACGTGCTATTGGTACAGTTTATCTTTAACTTTTTAACATACATAACATCACGCCTTTTTTCGCCGATGGGGTAGGCAGAGGTGCACATTAATGTAATAATTCTCCCCACACCAGTAATAGGGTTCACCCCCTATTACATGGGCAATAGGGGGTGAGCCTGTACCGGGCACAGTTCCAGACACTGTGCTACTACTGAGAGTTTTTTAAAAAACCCAGTACTTAATTCTTTGCTCGACCCTAGAATCAAACCTGAGACCTCTTGTCCGGCAGTTGCACTTGCGATCACTTGGCCAACGAGGCAGTCTTTTTTAACGAAATATGATAATGTCATGTAAACTTTTCATTCCATTGCCTATCGATATAGTACTACAAAAATCAAAGTTCTCCACAGTTAGGTAAAGACAAATTTAATGAAAGATGTTAAAATGTTATTCTAGCATTCGTGTGAAAATGGAATTCATCTATTGTTGTACTCTCAGTGTCATGTCTGGTCGACATTGCGTGCTCAAAGACACGCGTTATCGTGTCTTACAAAATGTGACAAAGACCAAAGCATTATTTCAGTTTTTTGTTAGGCCTTGGCACTTGGCAGTCTGTTGTAACTGAAATAATAGATGTCATTGGTGTAATAGAAATGAACTCAACAAAGTTGATAAAGTATATCTTTGTAATAATTAATTGTATCAAAATATTACTGAGTTGATTCAATAAGGTATGTATTTAACTCGTTGAGTACCGTCATTATAGACACAATTAAAGAACAATAAGTTGCGGTCACCGGTGATCTCGCGGTGTTTGACAGTTTAATGCTCATATTTGCGAAACTGAAACAATTTTATGTTCATTCATTATCTTAAAAAGATACAATACTTTTTGTTACTACGCATAAAATAAAAATAGTTATTTACGTAAAAGAATCCTAGTACGAACATAAACAAAAATTATCTTAACGTAAGTTGGCACGTGGAGCCTAACCTTGACCGAAAGGAAAATTTAGCGTGGGCGTGGGCTAAAACAGGATAAGATACCGTAGGATATAATTAAATGTCTTAAGATGGGAACAAATGACCTGGAATTACCGTCTTAAGTGTTCTAGCAATTTAAATTTAACCTATTTATACTTTACCTTAATGATATGATCCTGAGGTATGGTGAACTTCATCATCCTTGCGAAATTTTTCTTTACACAAAATGTATTGTCCACAATACTCCATTTGGTACGTTAATATGCAATCTCGTCGAATATGCAGTTTCCTAGTAGGTTAGTCTGACGGAATATTTGCTATCCTAAATATTTTTTACAAGTCCGAAACTATGAGTTGACCAACTATGAGTCCCTTATGATACGTCTTTATTTATTGTCAGCAAGATAAATGTGATATATTTCTTAGAAGTTTACTAGTACTGGCTATCTCGCGAGAAACTTATTTACTTGATATTACGTTTGATATACTTACTAAGTCGATACGCACTCGATGTTGATACCAAAACTTTAGATCTTATTCTGAGAAATAGATTTCAGTACACCACTTAGATAGTCATCACGTAGTTGTACTGAAATTGGGGTGACTTTCTAGAATTTGTTTATGGAAAAGTTTTAAATGTTAGGAAGTTATCACAATTTGTTCTGATTCAGTATTACTGATAAAACGTACACAACAACTTTACTATAAACAAATTCTCCAAGTTTAATATTGTGTATGTTATGTTATAAGGTGCGGGGCCACCAGAGAACAATTAGCTCGCAGACCGCCAACTTTAAGCAATACATCCATAGTTTAATTTCTACTTGATTAAATTATATTACTGTTGGCCCCAAAAGTTTCTACTAAGTTCATAGTTTCACTGCTATAATCTATACACATAAAGCAGTTGTAAATTAGGCATAAATAACTTCATATTGTTCTCGTTCTCTTATCAACGGACAAGTTGTGAGTCCCAAATTGTTCATGGTCCTATAATAAACATTTACACTCGAATCCCAAACGATCAGTCGGAGCAAACAATTTATTAGTTTGTTTGTTTCATTATTATTTATTGTTCCAGATTGTATTGTTCTCTAATTTCTTTAATAAGGTTAACTGAATGTCTAGGCTGTTGAGTTTTGTATAGTATAAGTCTCATTACAATATACTTTCGATCTGTTTACTAAAACTTCTCAGTAAAATCTAAGAAGTAAATCAATTATTCACACAACATAAACTTTTTATGGACGTAACGACTAATTAAATCTTCAAAAGCAACACTTTGATATCATGTTTAAAACACATAAACGGATATTTGTTTATTCAACCCATTCTCAGATCTTTCAAAGTATAACGTTGCAATTTCGACCTCGTCCCCTTTGATTTACAGTTCACATAGATTGATGTGGGACATAAACTTTGCTGTAACGCACAGGTTTGTTTACAAATGAAGCGCTTTCACGTCTAGTGAAGTCAAACGTTTCACATTGATTGAAAGAGCAGGATGCATTTCAATTTTCTTTATATTTTGTCAACATGGTGCAATGTTTTATTAAACTGGTCGAAATGAACCTAATAGTGTCAAAAAATGGGAGTTTTATTTAATTACCTCAACCTGTAAAGTTCGTCGAATTATTGTTTTGAGTTTTGCTTAAATAAAAGAATTCGTCAAAGTCAAAGTCAAAGCATTTATTTCAATTAAACCATAGTTTGGTACTTTTGAAACGTCAACAAATACAAAATAAATAATAGTCTGTCAGTAAGTCCGTCAGTGAAATTAGGTGAAGCTAGGTGTCGTAGGAAAGGGGTTAACATATGCACAAAAATCTAACACTATTATGATATCCTACTATATCGATGTACATCATAGATACGATGATTTTTAAACCCACATCGTCCGCAACTTAGTAAAGGGCACAGTGATATCTGTATTTTCATTCCAGTTGCGAGTTCTTACGAGCTCCGGATACATAAATTCACACAATCCTCCCATGGGTTATGCATTACTACGTAGCGCCTTGTTGCCTAATACATTTTACCCTTCTGACGATATAGCATTCATTTTTCAAGTAATACCAAGTTAAAAGTAGACTGTAAGACGTTTTAGGAATTGTATTTATTTTATGGATCACTGTATTTAGATTTTTGCGATGTCGAAATTATTGTAATCTTGCTGATACATATGTTTTTTACATTTTTTCTTTTCTCTTGTCCAGGTTCAGGGAAGTCCTACACGATGATGGGCTCGCCGGGGGCTGATGAAGGTGGCATCATCCCACGGCTATGCGACTCTTTATTCGAGAGGATCAAAGTACAACAGTCACCACCAGCACTTACCTACAAGGTAATTATTACTGAGATGGAAAAAAATATACTTTTAAACTTGGTAGATGAAACTTACCTCTTATGAGGTTAAAATTATGTATAAATGAAATTATAAAATATTTTCATCAAAGATGGGGTTTGGTCCTTCTTCTGCTTAACAATCTACATCACTGATGGAGAAATCTATTTTGACGGTTCAAAAGAGTCTGATTCAATTGAAATATTTGGTTTGACTCCGATTATGGTTTCCCTTCTGGGGAAAACAAAGGTGACGTTGGACTATGTTAATTAAGTAATGCTATTAATATTAAAGCAACGTTAATCGACACACTTGCACTAATTAACTAACAGAAACTCGTTAGGATGACGGCGGCAGGTGATGGAACATTAATTTGTACCCATGCTAGACTGATAGCGGACTATCAACTAGTAATTGTTACATTACATTACAACCGTTTTTGTTATATAAACTTGTAGCGGTAGGTACTAGCGTAAAAACTGGAATACTTTAATACCCTAGTTCTAAAAGCTTAACTCAGAATTTCCTGAAGTTAAGAGTAGCATTCGAGAAGTCATATTCATTTCTTAAACTATGAAATTGGGACATCGTCTTTGTGGATCTTATCTTTGTCTTCCAGACGTCCCAAAGTTTAAAGATTACTTGAACCATCTTTTATAACTCCTTGATAAAATAGTGATTAATCTTAATTTTCTTCTATCAGGTCGAAGTGTCATACATGGAAATATACAACGAACGAGTACACGACCTGCTGGACCCAGAGACGACGAGGCGATCACTACGCGTGCGCGAGCATGCAGTGCTTGGACCTTACGTTGATGGGCTCTCGCAATTAGCTGTTACTTCATTTCAGGTATGTGGAAGACAAGACTAGACAGTAACCTTGTCTTAAAAAACTGCAGGTCCAAAGTAAAAACTTAAAAAACTTAAGGTAAAAATCTGTACCATCTGTAATTTGTCAGTCAATACTGCTCTACTCCACATTTTCTTGAAAGTATCATGCTGTAAATCTTTAGGATATTACTTCAGGTAGCATGTGAACTACACTCTTCGGCTTAACAATACTCTGATGAACCGCTTACCGTACAGTCATAAATATAAATCTGAAGTATCTTGATATCGTTACGGTCTCGCAGTATCATCTTATAGTGTCATCTTTCATCTACAAGGGTTGAACTAAAAGTACTTACCTGCTAAGCTCCATATTTATACCCTATCGACGGCAGTATCTCGATATTTAGTTGCCTACCCTGTCTCGAAAACCTGTGCACGCCACTGTAGTTGTATGCAGCATGTCAGCAGAAAAAAAAGTCAAGGCGGGAGAAGTCTTTGGATGATTTTCCTTCTCAAAAACAGTCCTCCCCAATAACTTACCTTAAATCAGCGTAGCAAACAGCATCCAGCATCTCCCTGTGACCTCAATTAGATTATCTACAATACGGTAGTTGACTGGTAGTCAAATTCAATACTTTTATTGGAATGTCGAAAACGATACTCTTCTATGAATTTATTGGATCACAATTTATGACGTCATCATATTTTTGCGTCAAATAGCATACTTATTTCCTTAAAATCAGCGGGAAAAATCCAAATGTAGGTAAATTGTCAAATCAGTGGATGAGAGTATGATTATTTTTTATTGCATTGAAAAGTTGAAACAATTTATTTTAAATCTAGGAAACTAGCCAATTGTACATGGTGTATGGACGTCCTGAGCTACGCTTGCCGGCTATAATCGCTTCCACTTATCCACTTGTACCAGACTCCACTCGAATTAAGACACGGATCGCGTTTACGCGGCTCGTCTTGCAATTGGCACATCTGTTCGTCTGAGAATCGTCTCCAAGCTTAATACAGTTATTTTGGCCTTTATGAGTTAGCCATTTTTGGGGGCAAAAGTAGGTTTAGATCTAAAAGGTTTTTTTTTGTAAAAGGGATGGTATTCACCCGTGATGATCCACTCCAGCTGAGTACTATGCTGACCTCGTTTTTATTTTTCTTCTCTTCTAATAATAACATGACATAATATCATGCCTTTTTATTCCCGAAGAGGTAGGTAGAGGTGAACAAAGTCAAAGTCAAAGCATTTATTTCAATTAAACCATAGTTTGGTACTTTTGAAACGTCAACAAATACAAAATAAATAATAGTCTGTCAGTAAGTCCGTCAGTGAAATTAGGTGAAGCTAGGTGTCGTAGGAAAGGGGTTAACATATGCACAAAAATCTAACACTATTATGATATCCTACTATATCGATGTACATCATAGATACGATGATTTTTAAACCCACATCGTCCGCAACTTAGTAAAGGGCACAGTGATATCTGTATTTTCATTCCAGTTGCGAGTTCTTACGAGCTCCGGATACATAAATTCACACAATCCTCCCATGGGTTATGCATTACTACGTAGCGCCTTGTTGCCTAATACATTTTACCCTTCTGACGATATAGCATTCATTTTTCAAGTAATACCAAGTTAAAAGTAGACTGTAAGACGTTTTAGGAATTGTATTTATTTTATGGATCACTGTATTTAGATTTTTGCGATGTCGAAATTATTGTAATCTTGCTGATACATATGTTTTTTACATTTTTTCTTTTCTCTTGTCCAGGTTCAGGGAAGTCCTACACGATGATGGGCTCGCCGGGGGCTGATGAAGGTGGCATCATCCCACGGCTATGCGACTCTTTATTCGAGAGGATCAAAGTACAACAGTCACCACCAGCACTTACCTACAAGGTAATTATTACTGAGATGGAAAAAAATATACTTTTAAACTTGGTAGATGAAACTTACCTCTTATGAGGTTAAAATTATGTATAAATGAAATTATAAAATATTTTCATCAAAGATGGGGTTTGGTCCTTCTTCTGCTTAACAATCTACATCACTGATGGAGAAATCTATTTTGACGGTTCAAAAGAGTCTGATTCAATTGAAATATTTGGTTTGACTCCGATTATGGTTTCCCTTCTGGGGAAAACAAAGGTGACGTTGGACTATGTTAATTAAGTAATGCTATTAATATTAAAGCAACGTTAATCGACACACTTGCACTAATTAACTAACAGAAACTCGTTAGGATGACGGCGGCAGGTGATGGAACATTAATTTGTACCCATGCTAGACTGATAGCGGACTATCAACTAGTAATTGTTACATTACATTACAACCGTTTTTGTTATATAAACTTGTAGCGGTAGGTACTAGCGTAAAAACTGGAATACTTTAATACCCTAGTTCTAAAAGCTTAACTCAGAATTTCCTGAAGTTAAGAGTAGCATTCGAGAAGTCATATTCATTTCTTAAACTATGAAATTGGGACATCGTCTTTGTGGATCTTATCTTTGTCTTCCAGACGTCCCAAAGTTTAAAGATTACTTGAACCATCTTTTATAACTCCTTGATAAAATAGTGATTAATCTTAATTTTCTTCTATCAGGTCGAAGTGTCATACATGGAAATATACAACGAACGAGTACACGACCTGCTGGACCCAGAGACGACGAGGCGATCACTACGCGTGCGCGAGCATGCAGTGCTTGGACCTTACGTTGATGGGCTCTCGCAATTAGCTGTTACTTCATTTCAGGTATGTGGAAGACAAGACTAGACAGTAACCTTGTCTTAAAAAACTGCAGGTCCAAAGTAAAAACTTAAAAAACTTAAGGTAAAAATCTGTACCATCTGTAATTTGTCAGTCAATACTGCTCTACTCCACATTTTCTTGAAAGTATCATGCTGTAAATCTTTAGGATATTACTTCAGGTAGCATGTGAACTACACTCTTCGGCTTAACAATACTCTGATGAACCGCTTACCGTACAGTCATAAATATAAATCTGAAGTATCTTGATATCGTTACGGTCTCGCAGTATCATCTTATAGTGTCATCTTTCATCTACAAGGGTTGAACTAAAAGTACTTACCTGCTAAGCTCCATATTTATACCCTATCGACGGCAGTATCCAAAAGATGGAATATTCTAGAAACTTTCGTCTCGTCGCAAATTCCTTGACCTTCTCCGTTTACAAAAGATTTCCTTTCGCCCAAAAGATATTTAGATTTTATCCATACTCTGTGAACTATACATGTTCGCTTCGAGTTTCGAAGAGTCTAAAAGCATTTTCATTGAGTTTGGAAATTGTTTCAGACTTAGTTTTCTTTTACCGCGTATTTATGTTTGTTTCTACGTTCCCTAAATAACTGAAAGTTTTTTAATTCCTAACATTGTTTCTCAGAAGTTTTTAAGCGTATTTTCTGCGGGGAACAGTAGGGTCAATGATTTATGAATTTTTAATTGGTTAAATTAGGAATCACCACTACATGAAAAGCATACCATACTGTTTTTGATAGTTTAAGAGATTCTAAACGATGTCTCGTTAATGTCAATACATTTTATCTTGAATAAAACGTATAAATAAAACGCTAATGATGTCTTTGTCATCTTCCATTGAAACCGACGCCCTATAGTGGTATTTTTGTTAAATTGTGTACGGGCCTAACGGTCGACCTCTGAGCTCATTTCCACCCTTAATTGCGATCCACTGTCGCTCATTATGCCCGCTCTCTCACTTCCAGATTAAATTTTCATTGCCCCATAAAATACTTTGAAAAGTTCTCGACTGGCGCATGTTTCACGATCGCTGCAGGGGTAGCTAATATGTATTCAAAAGATCGTCGTATTAAATTGAATCAGCAAACTGTTTTACGGTTCAATTTTATTGAATGTAAACGAAACGAAAGTATTGTTTGTTGTGAACCGTATTACAGTTTTCCACTTGAGTTACTTCGATGAAATGAGCAATTTATAACAAGTGACTCGAAAGATATTGAAAGAATGGCTTCGAGAATAAAATAACATTATTTTTTTGTTGCTTGAAATAAATGTCAGGGACAAGCTTATTGGAAATAATGCATGTCTCAATGCGACCTTTTTGACAGGTTCATTAAGATGGCTTAGAACCGCTGAAGGAGCTTTACTCCACGGTACTTTTATTCCCATCGGCATTTCCTTCCTCCCTACAATTTTGTATCGAACCTCGTCTAAGTTGATTATATCGAAAATATGAAAATGGGATTTGCTGGTTATTAAATTGTTTGTTGCGTCGCTTTTTTGTAAGAAATTCCCCTTAAGCGTTTTTGCGGTAATTCTATTTAAACGATGAATCTTTTTTTAGTTTTATTTTTTCCCCAAAATATACGTAAATAGCATAAATACTTTAACCTTAAATCTGTTTCCCATAATTTAAGATTTGAACACAGAAAAGTATTTCTGCTTTTCTTATAGGCTTATAATCGTTTGTTTGTTTATTAATTTCGTTGATCGCTTTCAATTTCTTTCAAAAGTAACTGTTGTGAAATTTGCATGGATTTCCCACAACTCCGTAAAGTCGGGGGTAATTTGAAGGATCATAAATCTAAACGGCTTTTATCAAAGTCGAATACAATTTTATAGTCGAGTAAAGTTGAGTGATCATTTGTCAATAACACGGTTGTTGGTTTGTTGAGATTTATTTGATGTGTCAATTTTATGAACATCTTGCTTCTGGCGAAACAGATCAAGGGATTTCAATTCTAATAAATATTTTGATAGAGCTGGTTTTATTGGTATTTTATTGTTTTAATAGTGTGTTTATTTAGTCTTTGTAGTTAGTTTTTGTTCACAAATCGGTAAATAAATGTTTAAATAAATAAAAATCAATCCGAAATCTTGTTCAAAGGTCTTTCAAAAATAACTTAAATCAGTTCACCGCTTTATCTCCTTAATTTGGTTGATTAGCAGCGATATTTTATTCAAAGAGTTATCCAAGTGCAGTTAAATCCAACAGTCGCTGCGGATAGCTTTGC